GCTTCCGGGCACGACCCCTTTTGCCCGGGCACAATCCCTCCCCTATTTTGGGCCGTTGCCGGCTGGCCTTTTGTCTTCCTAGGTCCTAGCTGCCTGCCTGCCTGCCTGCCTACCCGTTTGTCAGCTTGCCTTCCTGTGTGACTGCTTGCCTTTCTTTTTTTCTCTCCTGCCCGCTTTTTTGATCGCTTGCCTTTCTTGTGTTCCTACGTCTGTATGTATATGCATATGTATATGTTTATGTTCATGTTTTGTGATGTTGGGTGCAATTCCAAATTATCATGCTAGTGTATGAATGTATGTATGTAATGTAATCGAATGTAATGCAATGTAATGTAGAGTAGAGTAGTGTGTAGTGTAGTGTATGTATGTACTGTATGTATGCATGCGTGCAAGTATGTATGTATTTATGCATGTATGTATGTATGTAATGTATGCATGTAATGTATGTATGTACTGTATGTATGTATGCAGGCATGCATGCATGTATGTATGTATGTATGTAATGCAATGTATGTATGTATGTAGGTATGTATGTATGTATGTATGTATGTATGTAATGCAATGTATGTATGAATGTGTATGTATGCATGTATGTAATTAATGTATGTATGTATGTATGTAATGTATGTATGCATGCATGTATGTATGTATGTATTCAACAAGTTCATCATCATCATCATTATTTTCACCAGCATGTTGAAGAACATCATCATGTTCATCACCATCATCATCCTGATGATCATCATCACTGCGCATCCTCAGCATCACCAGCAGTTATCATGACAATCATGAGAACGCATCATCTGCATTTCCAGTCGGGTCTGACGGCACAATTGAAACGTATATGAAAAAGATCGATGATGAACATGATGAGCTGATGGACACCACCATCATCACTTTCTTTCATCACCATAATCATCAGGATCATCATCATCATCATTTTCAACATCATGCTATCATGTTCCTCACTCTGATTTTGCAGCATTGGCAATGCAGGGGATGCTACGATGATACTTATCATGACTGTCATTGGCAGCTTTGGTTTCAAATGTGGCGTTAGGCACCATTGGTATTGCAGAGGATGCTGTGATGATACTTGTCACGACAGTCGTCATCCTTATCATCATTATCCGTATGTTCATCATGATCTTATCATCTTCATGATGATTGTCATCACAGCATCCTCTGCATTACCAATGGTCCTAACGCCACATTTGAAATGTGTAGAAGAAAGAGGCGATGATGACAATCACGATGAAGGTGATGACTGTGATGACAATCATCATGAAGATGATAAGGATGCTGACTCTCATGATAACTATCATCGTAGCATTCTCTGCATTACCAAAGCTTGAAACGTATATGAAAAAGAAGAGCGATGATGAACATGGTGAGGAACATGATGATGATGAACATGATGATGGTGAACATGATGATGAAAATGATGCTGAACATGAACTTGGTGAAGAAGAACATCATTTGCATCATCAAGTTCCTCATCCTGTTCATCATCAAAACCGTGGCGCTCTTCTTTTTTCATTTGCATTTCAAGTGCTGCAAGACCCGACTGGAAATGCAGATGATGTGTTGTCATGATAACTAGCTGATGCTGGGGATGCATAGTGATGACGTTAAATGCATGCGTTGTGATGATTATCATCAGGATCATGTGCCTCATCATGTTCGTCATCATCTTCATCATCCTGATGATAATCATCACTACGCATCCTCAGCATCACCAGCAGTTATCATGACAATCAACACAACGCATCCTCTGCGTTTCCAGTCGGGTCTAACGGCACACTTGAAACAGATATGAAAAAGACAAGCGATGATGAACATGATGAGGAGCATCATGATGCAGATGATGATGAACACGAACATGATGAAGAAGAACACCACCATCATCACTCTCATCATCATGTTCATCATGATCATCATCCATCATATTATCATCTTCATGTTCATCTTATCACGACGCATCCTCTGCATCTCCAGTCAGGTCTAACGGCACACTTGAAACGTATATGAAAAAGAGAGCCCACGGTAATGATCATGATCCGGATGCTGTGACCCATCACCCAACATCAGTGGTGATGATAGTCATCACTAAGACAAGGACAAAGACAAGCCCTTCCCATGCGCCTCCCGTTTGGAGAAAGGGGTCGGCGGATCTGTATTGAGAAGCTGCGGCTTTTGAGCTGGAGCTGTCAAAGCGCAAGCCGACGCAGAGGGGCAAACAATACGAACCGATACCAGAGGACAAGGTTACAAGGGTCGCGCCACGGTTTTTTTTCGCCTAGATGCAGCTGCAACGGGGCAAAAACAACGCCGCCAGGATGATCCTGAAGTGACTCCAACGGTCGCTGACTACTTGGCCGCGTTGTGTGCTTGTGAGGTTGGGAGCGCTGTGGCTGAGATGTTGTCAGCATGAGATTGGGTGACGACGTTACAGGCAACTGGACAGCCCCTGGAGAGAGTTTGGACATTGCTGGTGGATATGCGCAAGAAAGGCAGGGTCGTGTGAGCAGCTCTTGGCTTGACACGCCTTTGAGCGATAGAGCAAACCATGCAGCGCATTGCGCTTTGGGCATGGACGAAGAGGGATGGTCATGACTACTGGGTTTTGTGATTTCTCAGAAAGCTGAGATGCAGGCATAGACCTGGACACTCCTTCGGAGGACTCCAAGATTTCGGCGGGTTTTGGTGGTGTTTGGTCGACATGACATCGGCAAGCTTTCGTTTGCAGGCGGCTGCAAACTGATACCTGAACGTGCAAAGATCTTGTCAATCTGTTAAAGCATTTAGAAGCTCTCCCCCTTTGGGCCTGCGCTCCTACACGCGCACTTTTTGGAAGATGTAGATTGCATATTTTGGCTTCAGGACTCAGTTGGTGCAGGATTAGCAGATGCACGGGGATAGTTCACTGTCCCCGAAATGCCATCGTATGCCCATGGCAGGACTTGTTAACAGAGGACTCCTGGGAGGTGCTGGAGCGCCATGCCCAGACTTGGCTGCGCCAGGCGCCACACCCGAGGCACGGACAGTCAAAAACCAGCGAAGTAAAATATGTGACACTGGTGCTTGATGGGGAGGGAACCATGTTGCTTTAATTTAGATGTACACTTGCATATCGCCACCTTCAGCGTGTGTCAGATTGACAAAAATCAGCTCTGGTGTTCTGTCAGGGCTTTGCCTGCAGTTCTCCGACTTGGGAGTTTGCTGAAGCGGCGTGGGCGGCCAGAAGAGGAAGTGGTGAGACGCGCAGTCACTCGGTTGGGAACGAGCGTCGACAGTTTAAGATGTGGAAGCCCAATTGCTTGGCTCAGACAAGGTCCTGCACCTTGCATGGCGGGCAGGTCTTTGCAGTTTGTACATGCGTATTTATGTATGCGTGCACGTATGTGTGCATCCTGAAGCCCTTAGACTGGTCAGCGCCAGAAAGCGTTGGCGAATTTATGCCACGCCACGTAATGGAATGTAATGTAATGTAATGTATGTGTGTAGTGTGGTGTAATGTTGCGTAATCCAATATAATGTAGTGTGATGCATGTATGTAATGCACGCGTGTGCGTATGCGTCGTCCCCGGTTGCAATGAGGGATCTCTGCGAAGCATGCGCGTGAAGGCGAACGTTTCGCCATTTGTTGGCTCAAGATCGAGTATCTTGGATGCGTGACAGAAAGTAACAAGCGAGAGAAGTGCCACACAGACAAGCCATTGGTGGTTATTCCCCGCAGCCTTGTGTCGGGTTCTTACTTTTACCGGCACGCACTCACTCACTCCCTCACTCACTCCTTCGCTCGCTCGCTCGCTCGCTCATTCACTCACTCAGTCACTCACTCACTCACTCACTCACTCACCCACCCACCCACTCACTCGCTCGCTCGCTCGCTCGCTCGCTCGCTCGCTCGCTCACTCACTCACTCACTCACTCACTCACTCACTCACTCACTCACTCACTCACTCACTCACTCACTCACTCACTCACTCACTCACTCACTCACTCACTCTCACACTCTCACTGACTCATTTGGGTGTGTGTTTCCGTGGCGCTGGATGTTGTCGAGGCGGAGCACTTTGAAGATGGCTTGCAAATGTCGTCGCAGGCTTCCTGTGTCTGAGGCAGGGGCACCACTTGATAGGTGTCTACAGAAACTGGATGTAGCCGAGCGGCTGCGGGCCCTGTTTGCGTGACAGCAGGCACAGCGCTTTGGAGATGGCTTGCGGGTTTCGTGACAGGGGCAGCATTGCCTGCATCTGGGGGTACGTTTGCGTGGCGGGCAGCATTGGGTAAGCTGTCTAAAGGGACGCGAGGTTGTTGAGCGCGTGGCTGAGGGCCCCGTGTTGCGTGACAGGTGAGAAGAAGCAGACAGACAAGCATGACATCAGTGATGAGATGTTGCGTCCCCATTGAGGAGGCAGTTTTGTAGAAGGACAATGCTGGATGCAACATCGCGGTCCTTGGTGCAGGATTGCGCAAAACCCAGGACGTTATCCAAGCAGAGATCAGCAAGCAAACATATGAGCAAGAAATTGCTGAATGAGACGAGCAAGAAAGAAGCAATCCCAGGAGCTCCAATAAGAAGAGGCCCTTAGTGAAAGCCAGCTTGAAGCAAAAAGAATCAGCAAGCAGCAAGCCTAGCATCAAGCTCGAGCCAGCCAGTGCAAAGAAAGCAGTCAAGAAGGCAATTGTGGAAGATCAAGGATGCTGGTGAAAAGGGGGGTCATGCATGGCAGGGACTGGAAGTCAGAGTCGTATCAGAAATGGCAGGGAATATTGCATTTTGAAAATGGTCAAGAAGGTCAAGGCAAGCGTCATCACAGGTAAGGGTACCATCAGCACAGAGTGTGATTTCCTGGCATTAGAAGATGCAGCATACATCCTGGAGTCATAGCTGTGTGGATTCAGTGTTCCCATTGCTTGAAGTAGAGGCAGACACATACCTGGTGAATGGCATGGTCATGGGCGAAGTGGCAATTGCAGATTCATGAGTGTCCAGCCCTGATAGGCAACCTGACAGCGCACATGACTGAGATGGAAGAAGCTGGCTGCAGGCTAGTATCATTAGCGTTGCATCAGGTGTTGGCACTCTTTTGATTCCAACTCCAGGCAATGAAGCGCCCACGCATTGGAAGTTTTTGGTGAAGAGAGGCAATGAGTGGCATGACTATGACACCTTGGCGGTGAAGCATGGCGAGTGCATCAAACATGCCAATGCCATAGTGAAGCCATAGTGAAGCTGTTTGAGGGCGACAATGCAGCAAACACCAAGGTAGATTGCTGTTCCTCTTTGGTGCAGGACTTTGGAGATGGCTTGCAAATTTCGTGCCACTCCCGACAGGTTCTCAGCTGGAAAAGGCATCTGCTCATCAGCTACAACAACGAGCGGGCGGCGCAATGGACGTTTCAGAAGGTGCAAGCAAGCGCTGCTACGTTGGGCCACGACGCTTCAATGAGTTCGGGAAACTTCAGGGAGTTCGGGAAACATGATGCGCCAGCAATAGCGGATTCTCCTGATCGTAGTTCCATTTAGGCCCAAGATCGTTCCATAACGTCATGGACGCGCGAAGGACGTGAGATTTGAGAGTGAGAGAACAGCAGGAGATCGTCAAGGTCACTTCCGCATGTTTTCTCGATAATGTTGCCGCCTCTTCCTCTCATTGGGTTGATCCCTGAAGTCCATGTGTTGACCGCTTCAGATTCTCGATTCGCTTTCGCATCTGTTGGCGGTGCTCACTACAGCGTATAGTCTGACGAAATGAGTTGCCTGCTAATTTGCGGAGGTTTGGCTTGTCATTGCCCATACGTGCATTTGCCACCTGCGTCTCTTGGTTGCGCTTCTGGGTTGCGAGCGGCCTGCTGGTTTGCAAGATCCCGGCTTCCTTCAAGGTGGTAGGTCATCATGCTTCAGCTCAAGTAGAGGAACTGGAAAGTATTATCTCTAGTGTCACAACTAAGGCAAAGGTCACCGCCGGCGGCTCGCAGAGGCTATCGCTGTATTACTCCTTTACCATCATCACCAAGCGGGCCGAGAACGAGCTCAGGACAGAAGTCAAGCTGCGCTGCGCTACAACTTCACAACCAGCAAAGCACTCTGTGTGTCGAGCTGAGGGACAACGACGTGAGACGACCCGAGATGATGCGGGCGCTTGTTGTGACGAGGTCAATGATGAGAAGCCGAAGCTGCCCGAGGCCAACCAAGCATGGATGAAGTAGGTTGCGGACAAGGATGAGTGAGTTGACGCGCGTTAATCAGCTGGACACGTAAAACGCAGAGCTGAAGAACGGGGCAATGATTGCTGTGGATCCCAGATCCACCAACGCGCAAAGATTTGTTGACAAACGTGCATCTCCAGCTGTCACACGGCATCCTTGAATCAGTTCCGAGGACCACGTCCACATGTGGCCGTGGCAGTGAAAAATTACTTTGGCGGCGGATAGCCTGGAGGAGGGCCCGTGCTGCCGCACAATTATGTTGACATAGTTGCGGCCATGGAGGCGGCCGAGCTCCGAAACTCCGACGCTTGACGACGTGAGGACGAAGAGGCAGACGCTTCTGAGATAACTGGAGGATGGACTCGCTATGACTGTTTGCAGCGCCTCCGCCGTGCGTCGGTGTCTTTCGCGACTGTCCAACCCCGGCGACGCTAAGTTCGAAACGCTTGACATCAAGCTATCAGTCGCATCACAGGCTATGTCGCGTAACGCTTCAATGATGCCAAGGACGTGTCGTTGAGTGCGACTTGTCACGCCGAACACCGGTGAAGGCAAGAAGCTCATCAAAGGTCATGAGACTAATATCGCAACGCCGCTGCAATCTGACTATCATTGAGTGCCTCGCTTGGCGACCCTGTCCGGACCTTGCCGTGTTCGGAAGCAACGCGCATGATACACCCCGCGCCGTGCGATATGAGGATAGACCACACGAGATGATTGCAGGACATCTTGCAAGAGCTCATGCGCAAGAACACCTGTCAAGAGCGTGCTGCAGCGCGAACGATCGCAACTAACGCCCCCACAGACCGAAAGGTCATGGCAAACCTGAGAAGCCCTCACCAGTACTACCCGCCCAAAGGCAAAGGCAAGGCCTAGGAGCGCAAGAAGCGTAAGGGTGACGGAAAGAGCAAGAGTCTGTCAACAAGAAGCGAGCAAGGGTAGGAACTGCTCCCACCACCCGAATGACGAAGCACAAGCTCGACGCAACTGGAAAGGGGAAGGGGAAGGACAGCGCCTCCAAGCGAATTGCCCTGATGGCCTGTTGAGACAGAGGCGCCGGCGTGCGCCGGCGATGATGGTGTGGTAAGCTTTCAGGAAGTCATCGAAGGCGCATCAACCGTTTGCGAATGCTTGAGAAAGGAGAAGAAGAAGATGACGCGCGCAATGCCAAGATCTACGAAGCTCCGCCTGTGGGTTTCGGCCTTCCGGGAATGCTCGCCCGGCCCCTATAAGAGGACAGACCCGCGGTGGAAAGGCACCCACGAAGAGAAAGATGATGGTGCCAACGCTGGAATGTCGAAGCAGGCGTGGGAGCGACTGTCAAAGAGCTGCTGAAGAACAACGCAAACTCTCTCATGGTTCATCTGCTAGCGCACAGGTGCAGGAGTCTGTTCTGTGGCCTTTCAGACCGCAGACTGGAGCACTCGAAGAGAGGTGTGAAGTCGCTTGGAGATCTCGCAACCTTCGAGCTAGTAAAGTAGAGGCGACTGGCGGAATGCGCGCGGGCAACAAGCGCGTCACAATCATCCGCGGCGCATCCTGGCGTACCCCGCGGGCAGAAGGAACCCCGACCCCATCATCAATGCGGCTGAGGACTACATGGGTGACCGCCATGCATGGTACCTCAGAACCATGCTCTGGCCGAGAACGTATCAGTGCTTGCCTGGCACACACACACAAGTTTACCCATGTGCTTCTGGACGCGCGCCCTTACTACTCTATGTCATGTGCGCGGGGTCATAAAACAGCGCAGTCAACGGATTGCTTTGCAACGTAAAGTCATCAACCACGGATCCCACATGTGTCACAGAGTTGAGAGAGCGCTTGCGTCATACCACGAGTGACCCATGTTTTGATGTTACGACCCGATCATGAATGGGCCACAGATGAATTCACGCTCAAGTTCTGATCACCTCCTCTGGCCCCAAACTCCGCTGGTGTTGCCATGAGGGAGCTTTGAAGCACGCGCGAGAAGACCTCCGTTTCGCCATTTGTGATGTTGAACGGGGCACGAGAGAGGACATCGGGCCTTCAGAGGTCGGGGATCTCTCACGGCGCATCGTCTTTTTTTTTGGAGGCTCGGTCCCCCTTTCTGGGAGGGTTTAAAGAAGCCCCATTTTTTCGGGGTCCTTCTTCCCAACAAAGGACCTTGGCCACGCCCATTTTTGCCACTTCTCTTAGACCTGACATTCGTACGGTTCAAGAACAAGCGTCTTGGATGCGTCACGGAACGTGACAAGCCAAAAAAGCACCATAGCGCGCCGCTTCGCGTTGTCCGGTGTTTTCCAGCGGGGCAGTGGTTAGAACTTCCTTACGAACCCTACTCAACAACGGACAAGTCCTTGGTGGTTGGTATGACTACCCGCGTTGGCCCCGACTATTCACGGAGAAGGAGAGCGCCTTCCCGTAGTATGTACGCATGCATGCATGTATGACTGTGTGTATGTATGGACGGATGTATGTACGTATGTGCGTCAGTGTTCCTGTGTTCGAACTCATGACTTCAATGCACTGCTCGAGAAAACGCTGAGACAAGTTCAGTACAAAGCAAGGAGTGTTGCGCTGACGTTGCTTGGGTGATTCGAGTTGGCCTGCTCGAGGAAGTGTTTACCGTTTGGGTAAAGTCGTGCATTTCTTTGACCCAGGTGAGGACTGTCTTTGAGGAGCTCCGTGACGCAAGATCGCCTTTGGTGGCAGACCTTGGGGCCTTCACGGGTGAAGCTCTCAGGCAGGGAAAGCTGCAGGGTCGAGCTGCTTCATTTTCAATTTCATCTCTACTCTTAGCACAAGAGGTAAGACTCACGACGCGCATACTTATGCCAGCATATATTATATGGCTCGGAAGCAACAGCCCAGAGTACACAACGGACGGAAGAGTTCTGCAGGTCATTGTATACCATGAATCAGTGGTCGATTAGCATAAAGGGAAACATTTTGCGTGATTGCCAAGATGCGAATTTACTTAAAGAGAGGCGGGTGCAAGTATATACCAGCAAGTTTGGCAAGGCAAGCATGTGAGACTGTCAGGTTCATTGGCATTCACACGGTCGGCAGCCTTCCCAGCATGTCAGGACGTGCTTAGCGTTGATTGTACTAGCCAGAGTCATGTCTGCTTGACTGATTGCCGACTGCTGAACCCTGCGAGCATGCCAAGGTGAGACTGAAAAGTGCCCTTGGTGACCTGCCCAGAGCGGTTGCCAAAATATTCTGCGGCAATTTTGGTCACTGCATTGCCAAGGCACATGCTGGCCAAAGGCGAGCTTCATCGACAGGCATCAGCTGCTCTCTAAAGTCGCTTGAGCAGCTCATAAATCCAAGCCACACCACACTCCGCGACGGTTGCCTTTTTGCTTGGCTCATCAACCGCAAGCGACAATCGGGCAGCTTGGACGAGCGTGCGCTTTGTTGTGTGACTCTGCAGGCGATGCTTCGCAGATGGGTTGCCTGGAACAAACCCGAAGGCAACGGATGGGCAATGACAAACTGCAAGCGACTCGGCGTGTGCATTTCCTTCTAGGGGGATTTGCATGTTGTCAGTCCTGATAGCTGAAATCACCTGGCAGGCCCCGGCGACTTAGCGTGGTTAGCGTATGACCTTACGTGCGGCCAGGCCGTCGGAAGAGATTGTGCTGTGTTCATGGTTGGGCTGCCTTCACAGCGGTCCTTCTGGCTGCACTGAAAGAGATGTCATGTTGGATCATTCCTTCGCCAGGGTGACCGGCTGCACTCGGATGGCGAGGTTGTATGTGGTACGCCTAGCTTCAAAGCTGAGGGACAATAAGTGCTCGAGCACGCCAGGACGGGTAGGAGCGACCGAGACTCAGCCAACAATGAAAGCTGCCAAAGGTCGCGCGCCAAAGAATGCCGCCGAGGAATTTTCTCTTCTGGTGTTTGGCTTAGCTCCCGGCTCTCGTCGACCTTGGTCGCTTAAATCAGGCTACGTAGTCAGCCTTCTGAGGACCAGGGCAATCGATTCAGCGCAGAGCAGAGAGCTTTGTAGAGAGCTTACACAAGGCAAATTGTGTCGTTCATTTTTTACATTAGCGAAGTGCCACTTGCAATCGTGCAGTGCGGCCATGAGCAGCCACGTCAGCGCATCGTGAGCAAGCATGGGGCTGAGGTCAACGTTGGCAAAGAAGCTTCTGTCCAGGCTTGCTGATGACAGCAGTTTGCAGCTCAAAATAAGGTGGTTGAAGTGCCGGAATCCTTGATCAGGCACTGCAGGTGTGAAACAAGTTCTCACTATCCTGTTCTCATGGGTAAACGAGGCGAGCTGTATTGATGCTGAGTAAGGCCAGTGCCTGAAGGTTAACGGGGTGGCGGACTGAGCATATCCGACAATATTCAGGATGATGCAAGCGAGTCAACGTTCAGAATGTGCAATATGGTGCTTAGATGTCTTCAAGTTGTGAGTGTAATGTTGCCCAGTGAATGCCGACTCTTTTTGAACATCTCGGCAAACTGGAAAATACAAAGAGCTGTGCGTTTAAACTATGCTCGGTGCGAGATGTCCGACGTTTGTGCGTCAGCTCGAGCAAGACTCATTCCGTTTCAGTTCGGGCATCCTTTTAGTGCAGCTTTGAGTACTGGCATCTTGTCGAGGACATGGGCAGGAGTCGTTTGAGCCGTTTTATTGCCTTTGAACAATCCTGCAAGGTCCTGATGCTCTGTACACCTTCACCACCAGAGACATCAAGCATTTGTGCCATGCAGCAGTTTCTGCAGCCAGCTCCTCAGAGAGCAGACCCCTGGCCCCTTAGCACATTCTCGCTGCCCATTGAAAATTCAGAAATTATCAAGGCTCTTCCCCTGGGTCGAGATGCATCTTGCCTTCGGCGATCCGGTGGATTTGAGTCGCCGGCCGCTCAGATTGCTCGTTTGCAAGCCGCCGAATCAATCGCTGGAGGCGCAGGAGAAATTCACAGGATTGGGCTCGAGCCTCATACTGCAAGAATCTGCAAGATATGAGTACTGCTGCTTTGGGGTTCTTTCTCCGGGATGCCATTGAGCCTGAGGTGCAAGGACCAGGACAAGCCAATTCGCATCGCAGAATCGCATTGTGATCCAGCCCTCCGGATTGAAAGCCGCGTGCTCACCAGTTTGACGAGGTCCCAAACAGGCTGCACTCTCCAGGCAAAAGCTAGTGAGATTTCAGATCTGATGCGACTGGAGGGATAATTAGGATGCAGTCGGGCAAGTCCCAACTGCAGGACAGGGGCAAGCATGTGAATGGGACTTGCAATGGTCGCGAGCTTAGAGCAGAACAAGTTGCAAATGAGAGTCCGCAAAAGCTCATCATTTGCCAGACGAATGAGGTCGATCTTGAGCCGAGGAGGCCAATTCTATGGCGGCTTGTTTTGCGCAATTTGCCTGGAGAGGGGCATGCTTCTTCAAAATGGGCACCATGACGCACACACGGAAGCGTGCGAAAGGGAATGAAGGTGTTCGCGGAAGGTTTGTGGAACCCCTGCTGTTTCACATTGATGGAAACTCGCGGTTGTGTCGGCTGTCATGACTTTCTGCAGTATGTATGCCACGCACGGTTGCAGTGCAAGAAAACCGGAAGGCTTCAAGGGGGAAAGGTGAGCTGCGGCTCCGCTTCTCTTGAAGCCAAGCAGTGCCGCACGAAGTTTGGTAGATCTTGACAAGTCCCCAGAATTCCAGAAGCTGTGGATAAAGTAAAGCCGGGAACCTCCCGCACAGCCTGTTAGTTGAGGGCACTTTTGCTCCTGCTGAGCTTTCACAATCATGCGCGACTCAAAGCAAAGCTTGGAAAGCGTAAGCTGAAGGAGGAAGCAACCGATGAAACCCATCCGCAGAAACCCTTGGGACCGAATGAAAGCGCCCGTCGAATGAAATGTCCGTTCTCCGCCGCTTGCCGTGAATGTTAGAGACGCGGCGCATTGCGGGAAATCCGGATTGAGCATGTGACTGATTCAGAGCTCAAGTCTGTCCAATCCTTGCACCAACGAGGTAGCAGGAGCGAAGCTGTTGGACAAATGAGCAAGCATGCAAAGTCAGAGACGGTCAAAGATTCGTCTTTGTGGTGAGTAATATCCGTTCTGCTCTGAGAACATCAACGAACACATTCATATGAACGTCATATTATGTATATAGTGACGGACATACACTTAGAAACGGTTTTGGACATTTTCTTTTGGCGCCAGGTACTTTTTTCGTTTCTAAGTGCTGTCCCCAGCAGGTACCTTTCGTTTCTAAGTGTTGATCCGGACTGCTACAACCCAATTCAACACTTAGAAATGGTTTTCAACACTTAGAAACTGTTTTCAACACTTAGAAACGGTTTGCAGCACTAGCCCAACAGCTGTTTATGATCGTTCATGTGTTTCACGCCTTGTTTGATGGCCCCACCTTGCTCACACACGTGCTGACATGTATGGAGGATTGGTCATGTATACACACAAACAAGTCCAATTGGTCGACTCTTGGGGGGAGGGGGGGTTGGGGGAGGCGTTTCTAAGTGTTCACCCCCAGCTGATTTCAAGCTTCCGGCAACCCCAAGAAAGCACCGATGCCCCGAGGAGGAAGGTCTATCTATATACATATATATATATATATATACACATATATATATATATACACATATATGTAAGTATGTGTTGTATGTAAGTAAATGATGCCTTGCTCGCAAACGCACTGACATATAGGAATTTTTGGTCATGCACATATACAGACAAGCCCCATTGGTAGAATCTGGGGCGGGGGGGGAGGGTGGGGGGCGTTTCTAAGTGTTCACCCCCAGCTGATTTCAAGCTTCCGGCAACCCCAAGAAAACAGCGATCCCCCCATGACGAAGGTCTATATATATATATAGATATGTGTGTGTGTGTTTGTGTAAGTAGATCATGCCTTGCTCACACACGTGCTGACATGTATGGAGGATTGGTCATGAAAACACACAAACAAGTCCAGTTGGTAGACTCTGAAAAGGGGGGGGGAGGCGTTTCTAAGTGTTCACCCCCAGCTGATTTCAAGCTTCCGGCAACCCCAAGAAAGCACCGATGCCCCCATGACGAAGGTATATATATATATATACAAATAAATATGTGTGCGTTTGTGTAAGTAGATCATGCCTTGCTCACACAGTGCTGACATGTATGGAGCACTGGTCATGTGTACACACAAACAAGTCCAATTGGTAGACTCTGGGGGGGGGGGTTGGGGGAGGCGTTTCTAAGTGTTCACCCTCAGCTGATTTCAAGCTTCCGGCAACCCCAAGAAAGCAGCGATGCCCCCATGACGAACGTCTATATATATAACTATGTGTGTGTTTGTGTGTTTTTGTAAGTAGATCATGCCTTGCTCACACACGTGCTGACATGTATGAAGTATTGGTCATGTATACACACAAACAAGTCCAATTGGTAGACTCTTGGGAGGGGGTGCGGGGGGTTGGGGGAGGCGTTTCTAAGTGTTCACCCCCAGCTGATTTCAAGCTTCCGGCAACCCCAAGAAAGCACCGATGCTCCCAGGATGAAGGCTCATATATACACATATGTATAAACGTGTGCGTGTGTGCGTTTGTGTAAGTAGATCGTGCCTTGCTCACACACCTGCTGACATGTGTGGAGTATTGGTCATGTATACAAACAAACAAGTCCAATTGGTAGTCTGGGGGGGTGTACAAGCCCAAGTGGTTGAATCCGGGCGGGGGGGGGTGTTTCTAAGTATTCACCGCCCGGCTGATTTCAGGCTTCCGTACGTATGCGTGTATGTAAATACATCATGCCTTGCTCACACACGCACTGACATGTAGAATCTGGGGCGGGGGGTGTGGTTCACGCCCAGCTGATTTCAAGCCTCCGGCAACCCCAAGAAAGCACCGATGCCCCGAGAAAAATATATCTATATATATATATATATAAATATGTGTGTGTAAGTAGATCATGCCTTGCTCACACAGTGCTGACATGTCTGGAGGATTGGTCATGTATACACACAAACAAGTCCAATTGGCAGACTCTGGGGAGGGGTTGGGGGAGGCGTTTCTAAGTGTTCACCCCCAGCTGATTTGAAGCTTCCGGCAACCCCAAGAAAGCAGCGATCCCCCCATGACGAAGGTCTGTACATGTATAAATATGTGTGTGTGCGTTTGTGTAAGTAGATCATGCCTTGCTCACACAGTGCTGACATGTCTGGAGGATTGGTCATGTACACACACAAACAAGTCCAATTGGTAGACTGTGGGGAGGGGTTGGGGGAGGCGTTTCCAAGTGTTCACCCCCAGCTGATTTCAAGCTTCCGGCAACCCCAAGAAAGCAGCGATCCCCCCATGACGAAGGTCTGTACATGTATAATTATGTGTGTGTGTGTGTTTGTGTAAGTAGATCATGCCTTGCTCACGCAGTGCTGACATGTATGGAGTATTGGTCATGTGTAGACTCTGGGGGGGGGGGTTGGGGGAGGCGTTTCTAAGTGTTCACCCCCAGCTGATTTCAAGCTTCCGGCAACCCCAAGAAAGCAGCGATCCCCCCATGACGAAGGTCTGCACATGTATAAATATATATGTGTGTGTGTGTTTGTGTAAGTAGATCATGCCTTGCTCACACACGTGCTGACATGTGTGGAGTATTGGTCATGTATACACAAACAAGTCCAATTACTATACTCTGGGGGGGGGGTTGGGGGAGGCGTTTCCCAGCTGATGTCAAGCTTCCGGCAACCCCAAGGAAGTGTTGACATGTGGGGAGGATTGATCATGTATATTGGTAGACTCTGGGGTGGGGGTGTTGGGGGAGGCGTTTCTAAGTGTTCACCCAGGCTGATTTCAAGCTTCCGGCAACCCCAAGAAAGCACCGATGCCCCCAGGATGTGTATATATATATATGTGTGTGTGTAAGTAGATCATGCCTTGCTGACACAGTGCTGACATGAATGGAGTATTGTTCATGTATACACACAAACAAGTCCAATTGGTAGACTCTGTTGGGGGAGGCGTTTCTAAGTGTTCACCGCCCAACTAATTTCAATCTTCCAAGCTTCCGGCAACCCTAAAGAAAACACCGATGCCCCGACTACGAAGATATATATATATATATATAATTATATACATATGTGTATGTAAGTAGATCATGCCTTGCTCACATAGGTGCTGACCTACATGGAGTATTGGTCATGTAATATATACACACGTACAAGCCCAAGTGGTTGAATCCGGGCGGGGGGGGGGGTGTTTCTAAGTATTCACCGCCCGGCTGATTTCAGGCTTCCGTACGTATGCGTGTATGTAAATACATCATGCCTTGCTCACACACGCACTGACATATATGTAGTATTGGTCATGCGCATGCACAGACAAGCCCCATTGGTAGAATCTGGGGACGGGGTGTGGTTCACGCCCAGCTGATTTCAAGCCTCCGGCAACCCCAAGAAAGCACCGATGCCCCGAGAAAAATATATCTATATATATATATAAATATGTGTGTGTAAGTAGATCATGCCTTGCTCACACAGTGCTGACATGTCTGGAGGATTGGTCATGTATACACACAAACAAGTCCAATTGGTAGACTCTGGGGAGGGGTTGGGGGAGGCGTTTCTAAGTGTTCACCCCCAGCTGATTTCAAGCTTCCGGCAACCCCAAGAAAGCAGCGATCCCCCCATGACGAAGGTCTGTACATGTATAAATATGTGTGTGTGTGTTTGTGTAAGTAGATCATGCCTTGCTCACACAGTGCTGACATGTATGGAGTACTGGTCACGGGGGTTCGGGGAGGCGTTTCTGTGTTCACCCCCAGCTGATTTCAAGCCTCCGGCAACCCCAAGAAAGCACCGATGCTCCCAGGATGAAGGTCTATATATATATATATATAAATATGTGTGTGTTTGTGTAAGTAGATCATGCCTTGCTCACGCAGTGCTGACATGTATGGAGTATTGGTCATGTATACCCACAAACAAGTCCAATTGGTAGACTCTGCGGGGGGGGGGGGGGAGGCGTTTCTAAGTGTTCACCCCCAGCTGATTTCAAGCTTCCGGCAACCCCAAGAAAACAGCGATCCCCCCATCACGAAGGTCTGTACATGTATAAATATGTGTGTGTGTGTGTTTGTGTAAGTAGATCATGCCTTGCTCACACAGTGCTGACATGTATGGGGCGTTTCTAAGTGTTCACCCCCAGCTGATTTCAAGCCTCCGGCAACCCCAAGAAAGCACCGATGCTCCCAGGATGAAGGTCTATATATATATATGAGTATGTGTGTGTGTTTGTGTAAGTAGATCATGCCTTGCTCACACAGTGCTGACATGTATGGAGTATTGGTCATGTATACCCACAAACAAGTCAAATTGGTAGACTCTGGGGGG